GGACATGGTGAGGGGCGCAGAGGCGCAGGACGGGGTCCAGAAGTGGCTCGACGCGCTGAATGCGGAGGCAGAGGATGATGTGGGAAGGCAGAAGAAGGGCCTCCTGGAAGCCTCGGGGGTCGCGGACGCACACCTGGGACACAAACGTGCCTGGAAGGAGGAGTGCCAGGGCAACGCCATGGCGCAGGGGGCCTACCGTCGCATGGGCGACTACACGGACCAGTTCTACCGTGGCAAGGGCTTCACGTTCAACATGTACTACAAGTGCTCGGCCAACAAGACCTGGGACAATCCCAGGGGATGCTGCTCGGTGATCCGCTCGGATCGCTGGACGCAACTGCTCACCTGCGCGCAGGGGGCGGCGGGGGAGACAGGCCAGCGCTGGTACTGCCACTGTGGGGCGCGCTACGCGACCTCCTACGGCGTCTGCGTCGAGTTGATAGAGGAAGAGCAGAACCCGCCACGTGCGTATTATATGCACGCGGAACACCCTGATGAGGACATCCGCGACTTGAAGGCCCTGCTGCGTTACGACAAGCTCAAGAGGTAGGGGGTAGCGGTGATCAGCGCCGTGGACCTCCTGCAGCACCTGCCCAAGGTCGAGCCGCTGGCGGTGGGCACCGTCTTCAAGCGCTACGCTCCACAGCAGCCGCAGTGGGAGGGCCACTACGCGCTGATGGATGGGCTCTCCTGGGAGAGCCTGACCGAGTTCAAGTGAACCGACCTGTGCGCGCAGGTCGCCTGGGGGCTGAACGATCCAGAGTGGGCGGGCTACACCAAGAAGCAGCGGCATAGGGCCAAGAGGGAGCGCCTGGCGACCGCGTACAACGAGCTGGCGCTCTACGAGCGCCGCCACAACCTTCGGGAGGGCAGCCTCACGGGCGGCGGGGGTGGTTCCGGGGCCGCCCCGCGCGCCACCCCCGTCCGCGCCGCCAGCGCCCCTCCAGCGGGCGTGGCCCGCGGCAGGCAGGGCCCGCCACCGCCGCCAGCTGGGGCCCCGCCAGCGGCCATCATGGCCCCGCCACCGCCGCCGCTGACGGCGCCCCCTGTGGTGCCGCCGCCGCCGACGGACCCGCCGCCGCCGACGGACCCGCTCCCGCAGCAGATCCCTAATGTTGCCGCCCTGAACGTGGCCCTCGGCGAAGATCTCGAGCGCCAGATCTTTGGGCCCTCAGGGCAGGCGGGCGGCAGTGGCGACCTCGGGGGAGAAGTGCAAGCGCTGCCGTCGCAGGTCTTTGCAGCCATTGCGCAAGGAGCAGGCCAGTCCGCCTGAATGATGAAACCCAGCAGGCCCACAGCATCGAATACTTATAAGCCCTCGGGGGGGCTACGGGAATCCATGTAAAGATCCCGAGCCAGCCACTCTCAAAGATGCTGAACCTGTAGGTTTGCTTACGCCCCAGCTTTAGCAACGCCGCCTGGCCAGCGAGTGCGGGCATGCCCACAGTGGTGCCCCCCTCGCGCCGCGGCTCCTGTTGCTTACGCCTCCGCTCTTCGCACGGGCAACTGTGCGCCTAGCCATTCTGGCTTGCCATTGGCTTGCCATCCTGGCCTCCTCTCACGCCCACTTGCGCTCGTGGGCCTCGCTGGCGGTGCTGGGGCCGCCCCGTGTGCTGCCGCGACGCCGCTGGGCGCCTAGCCATTTTGGCTTGCCATCCTGGCCTCTTCTCGCGCCTACTCGCGCTAGTTAGCATCGATGGCGGTACTGGGGTCGCCCCGTGTGCTGCTGTGCCGCCGCTGTCACTTCACTTGGGGCCGTTGGGACCAGCTGCCCTCGGATAAGCGCCCGCCGCTGCATGCACGTCAGACCCGCCTTTCACCCAGATGAGGTGCTCGCTACATACTGGGAATGAGGCAGCCACAAGGACGCTCTCTCCAAGGCGGTTGAGCCGTGGTGATGTGGTGCACGAGACCGCCAATAGTAGTAGTGATAGTAGTAGTAGTAGTAGTAGTAGTAGTAGTAGTAGTAGTAGAAGTAGTAGTAGTAGTAGTAGTAGTAGTAGTAGTAGTAGTAGTAGTAGTAGTAGTAGTAGTAGTAGTAGCCGTAATAGTAGTAGTAGTAGTAGTAGTAGTAGTGTCGTCGTCGTCGTCGTCGTCGTCCGTCGTCGTCGTCGTCGTCGTAGTAGTAGTAGTAGTAGTAGTAGTAGTAGTAGTAGTAGTAGTCGTAGTAGTAGTAGTAGTAGTAGTAGTAGTAGTAGTAGTAGTAGTAGTAGTAGTAGTAGTAGTATAGTAAGTAGTAGTAGTAGTAGTAGTAGTAAGTAGTAGTAGTAGTAGTAGTAGTAGTAGTAGTAGTAGTAGTAGTAGTAGTAGTAGTAGTAGTAGTAGTAGTCGTAGTAGTAGTACAGTACTAGTACTAGTACTAGTATTAGTATTAGTATTAGTATTAGTATTAGTATTAGTAGTAGTAGTAGTAGTAGTAGTAGTAGTAGTAGTAGTAGTAGTAGTAGTAGTACTCGTAGTAGTCGTAGTAATCGTAGTAGTCGTAGAAGTAATGGTAGTAGACGGAGACTGCTACGACTGCTTCGACTACTACTCTTTCCACAACTAGTACTAGTCGTAGTAGTCGTAGTAGTCGTAGAAGTAATAGTAGTAGACGGAGACTGTTACTACTGCTTCGACTAGTACTATTTCCACGACTACTAATCTTACTGGTGCGACTGGCTCGCCACAAATAAACAATTCCACGAAGAGATGGTTCTCCGGGCAAGCGAGGCTAGAGTCATGCGAAATCCACTGCGGCACCTCACGGGGAGCGCACATCGGTGTGCGAAGTTGAAGTTCGACAGAAGTCTGAGAATCCCTGATCGGGTTTCACCCAGGGAAGCAACCATTTGCCCAGAATCACTAGAACCCCATAAGTATGCAGAAGTCCACTCAGAGAACCACCCCTTTTCCGGGGGAGCCAACCAGATTCCCGGAGAACAAACCCCTCGCGGGGGAGGAGGAGGAGGAGGAGGAGGAGGAGGAGGAGGAGGAGGAGGAGGAGGAGGAGGAGGAGGAGGATCGGGAAGACAGGGTCGACGACGAGGACGCCAGCCCGTCAAGGCGGTCGGGGCGCCATCGCCAGGGCGCAGTAATTACCTGGAGCACGCGCGATCTGCCAGTGCCACTCATACTCTGCCGATTTGGGGAGGGCGGGGGGGCGGCAGGTGCCGAGGCAGGAGTGCGGCAGGTGCGGAGGGGAGGACATACGGAGAGGGAGTGAGAGAGAGAATGAGGGAGAGGAGAGGGAGGAGAGAGGGCGGAGAGAGGGAGGAGACGAGGAAAAGGAGACAATGATGAGGGGAGAAGATGAAAGGAGAGACGATGACAGGGAGCGGGCGGAGAGAAGAGGAGGGGATAATATAAGGATGAGGAGAGGCTACGAGCGGGGAGCGGCAAGCTTCGTATACGGGAGGGGGAGAGACAAAGTATGAAAAGAGAGTCGGGGCGAGAGGGAGAGAGACAGAGAGAGGGATGACAAGTAGGAGAGGGAAGGGAGGGAGTGGAGACGAGGGAGATGGAAGATGAGAGCAAAGTGGAGGGAGCGGGAGCTGGAGACTCCAGGGTTGCAACACCGGCTGACACCCGACGTCGTGGCCAAGATTCGCCAACCCCGCCTGCACGAGGTGAGACGGCGTGTGAGATGATTGGCTGTCCGCCTTCTCTATTCCAGGGCTGGACCCTAACATTGTTTTTCGTTTTTTGTTCGTTTTGTTGTTCGTTTTGGTTTACCTGTTTTCCTGTACCTCCCTGCGAAGACGAACAACAAAACACATTCGAAGTCAAGCAAAACGGCGTTTCAGGTCCAACCCTGCTCCCTTCACCCTCCCAGTTCGGGCGTTGCTTCATTGGGGAGGGGGGTAAAAGGTTGTGGTGGGAGGGGGGGAAACGAGCACCTTTCGAGCCCCTTTCGGGCACCAGGGTAGTGCCACTTCAAGGCGCAACTCTTCACCCACCCCATTTGGCGGATCTCGGAAACACTGAACCCAAACACGCGTTCATCTCTTGGCAGCGCATCTTTTACTTCCGCCACCTTCAGCCGCCCTTCCGCCGGCTTCCGAGGGCGGAGGCGGCCTCGTTCTATGTCCGCCGCCCTTCCGCCGCCCTTCCGCCGCCTTCCGCGGCGGAAGGGATGACAACTCCTTCGACCCTCGAAGGCAGGGCCCTTTTCGGAACGCCCCATGTGTTGCCCCCCATCCATCACGCGACGCCCAGCCTGGGGAGGAGCTCCCCGCCCCTGGGGGTATATCAACAGGGGAGCAGTGCCCAACAGCCCCTTTCAGAGGATGGGGGCCCGCGACGGCCGTGCGCGGGGCGTGGGGCAGCATGGGCGCCCGCCTCCAGGGTGCGCCCGACCGGCCTCCAGCCTCCCGCTTGACGGAGGAGGAGGAGGAGGAGGAGGAGGAGGAGGAGGAGGAGGAGGAGGAGGAGGAAGAGGAGGAGGAGGAGGAGGAGGAGGAGGAGGAGGAGGCCCCCCCTCTGGGGCCCCTCTTCAGGCGTTCCTGGGGCCTTCTTGGGCCGTTTTGCAAGCCAATTGGGCCGTCCTGGGGGCGTCTTGGGCCATCTGGGCGCCCTCGTGGGGGCCTCTTGAGCCGTTTTGTCGTGGAGCGTCGGGAGGCCGATAAGGCGAAAACGTGAAAAACCATCTTCAAATCCGAAGGGAAAACCGATGAATTTTGACTCTTGGGGCTCTCTTTGGGGGCCTCTTGGAGGCCTCCCGGGGCGTCTTAGGGGCTTCCTGGGCCGCCTGGAGGCCTTCTTGGACGGTCTGGATTGACATGTTGGCGGCTCCTGGCTCTCTTGGGCCATCTTGCGGGCCACCCGTGGCTTTTCGGAAGCGCGTCTGCAGAAATGGGACCGTCCTCCGCCGGCGTTCCGCCCGTGACCGGAAGGGGGGCCGGGGGAGAACCCCCCCAGACCCCCGATGGGGGATACTAGAAACGGGAACCCCTCCCCAAGGTCGGGGAACAATCAACCAGCCCCTGGGCCTCGATGGAACAAAAACGCGCAACGCTCGCCTGCCGACCGGGCCTGCTCGATCGCCATCTTGACCATGTCCACGCCGCAGTCCTGGATGGCGGCCTCGAGAGGGGGGGACTTCACACTTCACAGCATGACCCTGTGGGGCAACGCTCGGGGGGGGACCAGCTCAACGGGGCCACCATCGAGCGCGAATCGGCGATAACATCGCCGACTGATCGGCGACAGGCCTCCGACAGCGAATCCGCACGGTCCTGGGCGGGGCAGGCAAACGGGCCCCAGGTCGGCAAGGAATGGGCCATTGGGGGTCGATGCATCACCCTGACGTTGCGTCTGAGACGCATGCCTGAGAAGGATTGCCCTTTTCGATCCCAGCGCTTCTACTTCGATCCTCTCGGGCTCCCGGGGCCGTCAGGCGGAAGTCAGAGGCGGGGGTGATAAACGTGGGGGCAAGATCGGGGTCCAGGAAAGCTGCTCTGGAAGGGGCCCGCTGGAAAGGTACGCCTCTCCTCAGATCGCGTGCATTTCCCGCTCGTGGCCTTCTGGCCGAGCCTTCGGCCTCCAGGCAGGCCATCAGGCATGGATCCGGGCCGAGGCGCCACCCCTGAAGGGGTCCAGATCTCCAGGGCGAGCAGAGGTTGGAGTAAGAATGCCTCGTTGGATGTCGGGGGGCGCCCGCACGGGCGCACGACAAATACAAGTGGCACGCCTGCCATGGCTCTTGCACATAAAAGACGAGGGCGGAGTAGGAGGAGGAGGAGGAGGAGGAGGAGAATGAGGAGGAGGAGGAGGAAGAGGAGGAGGAGGAGGAGGAGGGAGAGGAGGGGAGGACGACGAGGAGGAACAGGAAGAGGGAGGGCAGGGAGGAGGAGGAGGAGCAGGAGGAGGAGGAGGAGGAGGAGGGGGTAGGGAGGAGGGGAGGAGGAGGAGGAGGAGGAGGACGACGAGGAGGAGGGCTGGCGCTCGGGATGGGGGGGGCCGTGCCGAAATAAAGGTGCCGGGGCAGACGGGGCGCGCTGGCTGGCGGGCGGGTCGATGCAGAGGGGGCTTTCAGGATGCTGGCTGGTGGGTTGGGCGATGTGGAGGGGGGGGGGCGCGCGGGGTGGGGGCGGCGCTGGTGGTGGTGGCGGTGGTGGTGGTGGTAGTGGTGGTGGGTCGAGGGCGCGCGCGCCCGGACGGCGGCCCTCGTCCACCTCTCAGGACGCGGGGGGCGAAAAAAGAGAAAACCTCATAGACGGGGGATCGAGGGGGGCCGACAAAGAGAGGGGACGGGCATCATGAGGGGGCGGGACGAGGGGGGGCAGACGAAAAGGACAAAGATGCAAACAGAGAAGACCCCGACAACCATGGCATGTAGCGTGAACATCATGTGTGCGTGGTGCTCCCCGTATGTGCATCTATTCGCATGGACCTGTCCGCCGCGGTCGGAGAATATCAAGAACCCCATCCTTTGGATACGGGGAATAAGATAACCAAAAAACGCATCCTTTGGATATGGGGAAAAAGGACCAGTCCGTGAGCAGCAGAGGGCCCCAGGTGCCTCGAGTGGGGGGGGCCCAGTCGAGGACAGGATGGTGAGGGGGAGAGGGCGGTGAAGGATGCGGGGGAGGAGAGGGGGTGTACGGATGAGAGGGAGGAGTGAGAGAGGGGAGACGTAGAGGAGGAGCAGCAGCAGATGACTGCAGCCTTGAGGAGAGGGAGGACAAGTATAGTATAGTATAGGGCAGGAGTGGGAGATGGAGGACGACGAGGAGGTGGAGCAGAGGCAGGATGACTGCAGCCTTGACGCCGTGCATGTCCTGGAGGTCGATCGCGGCCTTGAGCTTCGCGAGCATCCGCTCGATGTACCTACGCAGGAGGCCGCAGGGAGGGCATCATGCTCAAGGACTCCCGAGGACTGCTGCTCTGCACCCCTCCTCGCTCGTCGTCGTCGTCGCCCTCCTCCTCCTCCTGCTCCTCCTCCTCCTCCTCCTCCTCGCTCCTCGCTCCTCGCTCCTCGCTCCTCGCTCCTCGCTCCCCGCTCCTCGCTCCTCGCTATTCGCTCCTCGCTCCTCCTCCTTCACCTCCTCCTCCTCCTCCTCGTCCTCCTCCTCCCCGTCCTTCCACCTAGCTGACCCCGAGGACTCCCCAAGGACTTTAGGAGGATGCGGTGGGGGCCTGGTTCTGCTCCTCATCCCACTCCCCCTGCACCCGCCCAGTCACAGTCTCGCTGCTCCTCTTCACTTCTTGCTAGAACTGCGCGCATGACGATTTCAAATGCTACGTTCTATACGGATGGAGGGCGGGTTGCTTTCAAATTGGGACTCTCGCCTTCCGCAGCACACGTTAGCCTTAACATTTCCGAGCGGGTGCACGGATGGAGCACGAGTGGTTATCAAATTGTGACGCTCGCTGTAGCGTCGCGCGCACTCGACCTAGATACATGTTCCCCAACCCATGCGATTACCCCGAGACCCCCCCCTGACTCACCATACGGTGCAGTCACCACGCAATTAGGGGATCACCAGCTCAAGCCGCACACGTATTGGTCCTAGTTGCCCCGATACGCAACACTCAACACGTAGCGTGTTGACATGAAGCTACACGCGTAGAGTGAAAACGCAGGTCTGGCGAGACCCGTTCGCCAAGACGTGGACCAACACGTGCCGAGCCAACATGCAGCGTGTCAGCACGCACATTCTGAACAGGGCACTCTGGAGGTCGGAGAAAGGGGCGTGGCAGAAAGGGGTGTGGTGCCGATCGTGGAGATGGCGACGCCATCTGGGATGGGTCACCTCGCCAGGTCCAGCACTGGCACTACACCCCTCTACACCGCGCCCCTTTCCTGCCCCCAGGGGTACGTGTTTGGGGCAGTGCAAAGGGGGGTCACCACTAGGGGGGTCGCCACTTCCTCGAGGAAACGCCACTTCCTCGAGACTTCCTCGAGGAACTGGGTCCCCCAGAGCCCCGAAAACGCAAAGAAACGTCCAAGAACATCCTCGACCCCTCGACTCTCCATCCTGGAACCTCGATTTCCAGGAGAAGCTGGCGACCCCCCTTGGCACTTCCTGAGTGTTGCGCTCCAGCACGGGCGTGCCGGGGCGGCGGAGGTCTCGGTGGGTCTGGGGCGGGCCAGGCGCTGCTGCGCTTGGCCTCGCCGCCTCTGCCGGGCCGGGGGGGGCGAGGGGCCCGGGCCAGGCTAGGGAGCCCAGGCGGCCTCGTCGGGGCCTGGGGGATGGGGAGAGGGGGGGGGTCGCCAAGAGAGGGGTGCGCGCCGCCTCGGGGACATCCAAGGAGGGGGCGTCGCCCGACAGGGGGTTTTCGCAAAGCGTGGCCCTGAAGCACGTGCGCGGCCCAGGGCCGGGGGGGGGGGGGGGGCAAGGAACGCATTGGAATAAGAAAGGGGGGCATGAAGTCCGGGGAGCTATCATAGCACTTGCCATGGCTCCCCCCTTTCTACCCATAACGCTTCGGCTCTTAGTCATCATGGATTGCAGCTCTCCTCGTCCTGCTCCCGGTCACTTTAACCGTACAGTGTTCGCTGCGTAGAACGCGTCCCCGGAAGGCGACCTCGCTGTCTCTCACCCTTGCCCTGCCAACGCACCTTGGGCGTGCATGGCACGCTTGCTCCGCTTGCCTTGCCGTAGTCATCCCCCCCCCCCTGCCGCGGGTCCCAACGGTGCCGTCGGCCTGAGCAGCGCCGCCGAAGGAGCTGGCGGAGGGCTCTGGCCGTGGCTGTTCCATGGCGTCGGGGGACTCTCGGTTCGTGCAGGCTCTTCCTGCTGATTCAGAGCTCGCACCAATGTGCGTAACCACCACTCGCCATCGCTCGGACGCTCATTCCCCGTGCATGTTTCGGGTGCGTGTGTTCATTTCTATCGCAAGATGATCCGAGATGCTCCTCGATGGCCCTCACCGAGGAAAAAATGCATACGTCCGAACGATGCCAAGATTACCTTCCCTACCCGCATACACAAGTTGCACAGTCCTCAGCCCGCCACAAGACCAGCCACACGCACCTTTTTTTGAGTCAGCGGCGCAGAGGGTCCTCAAGCGCGGGCAGCACTGGAAGAACGAATTGCGATCGAATGTAGTCGAAAACGCAGTGATCGAAACGTCACCCACTGACGTGCAAAGATGGGTGGTGGGTGGGAGGACTGTAGCCCAGCGAGCGTGCAGCGGCCAGAACATCGAGGAGCACGTCCGAGCGACCTCGATTCAAGGTGAACTGAAGCGCGAACAGTGTGTTGCTAATTGCCACTGAATCATCGAGCGAGCAATGATAGACAGCGGAAAGAGCCTCTAAGGATGCCAGCCCAGCGGATTGGCGAGGTGGCGCGAGGCGGCCGAGAGGAAGAATGGAAAGGAGTAAATGATAACAGCGTGGCCCCGCGCTGGATAAGGAGCGAGCTAAACAGACGACGCAAAACCACCTGCAAAATGCACACACACACACCTGTACAGGCGAGGTTGTTTCATTCGGCATCGTCATTGTCAGCGTGAGTGCGTTACTCTCCCTCACACCGGCGCCCGCCTCCCTCACGGCGCATGGCTACCGCTGCTTGAACGGAGGCTCGCTGCACTGTTCATTGTCGGGCTTGCCTTCCTCCTCCGCCTTCCCTTCCTCCTCATCCTCGGTGTCTGCGTGGCCAAACCCGCAAGCTGGTACGGGGGACTAATCTGAATTCTCCTTGCTCCCCTCGCCGTCGCCGTCGCAGTCCTGCGACAGCATGGCATCCTCCACCGCATCGAACGCGTCAGAGTGGCGCCCGCAGGGCCCCCACGAGCCCCAGAGCGTCCAAAGTACCTCGAGACTCAAATCTCAAGGAGAAAGCAAAAACATACCGATGCCGCTACTCCAAGGCCCCCCTCTCCAGGGGTGCGTTCTGACCAAAATCTCGAGGTAATCCAGCCTTGGCGACGAGTGAACGGTCATTCGCGGCGACACTCTCCTCCCCAGACTTCCGCCGATTTGATTTTTTCGATCCGCGGCCCCAGAGGTCCCGACCCCTTCCCCGAGAGTGGTTTTTGGCCCCCAGGGCCCATAACGGGCCACGGAGACCGAAGTCGAGGAAAGACCGCCAACATGAAAAACAAATCCTGGCGAAGGACACAACCATATGTAGTTGTGGGTACCGGCGTTGTGAATTTCGCCGTCGGAGGATCTCTGTATGGGGCCACGATGCACGTGAAGGGTGTACCGAAATGTGGCGGGGCCGCCATACAGGCGCTGCCACTGAAGTCTTAGTCGGAGCTGCCCATGGGGCCACGACACGTGTGAGGGGTCTGCGGGAATGGAATTTTGAACCGCATGCGGGCGTTGCCACTGGGCCTTCGGTGTTGCTCCCTATGGGGCCACGATGCGTGAGGGGTGCACCGAAATGGGGAGTGGAACAACATGCGGGCGCTGCCTCTGGGGCCTTCGGTGGAGCTCCCTATAGAGCCACGAAGCGTGCGAGGGGTTCGCCGAAATAAACAATGGAACCGCATGCGGGCGTTGCTGATATGGCTTTCGGTGGAAATCCTACTTACGCAGGCCGAAAGGTTTTCCTCTTGAGGTGGAAATGGCGATGATGAGTTCGCGAGATAACATCGGCGCCGCTGGAAGGACGGCGTCTGGACGAGCTGCGTGCTGCAACCGGGAGGAGAGAGATGGATTCATGCTGCGTGGGGCCCGCGCGCGCGGAAAGTTGATAGGGGGCGCGCGAGACAACGCGCAACCCACCCTGGGAATTTGATGGCCGAACCCCTCTCCGTTGTAAAATTTTAGCGCGGGCGGGTGCCGGGATCCGCGGATCCGATGTCTCCCAATTCCCCGCTTTAGATTATAATAATGTAAATTTAAAGGGGATGAAAAAACCTGATCCGCCGTAAAAAAAAATGGCCGGACGCGGATCCAGACAATCCAAAAGCGGATCCGCGCGGACGGGAATCGGATCCACCAAACCAGAAACCAACGCCAATTTTTTTCCTCGCGCGAAGACCGCCTGATCCGCCTTCCCCTCAACTCAAGGGGGCTATCCTCACCGCACTCCACCAAGTCGTGACGAACGACCGCAGGACACTGAGAGGTATTAGGCAGCGCGCCAGACACACCCCAGTCCGGCAATAATGAAGCAGCCGCAAGGGAAGGGGAGGGCGAGGGGAAGGGGCAGGAGGAGGAGGGGAGAGCAGGATAACAGAAACAGAAAAGACGCTGCACCGAGGATGGGCTGGCATCCCCCCGGTAGCGTGCAGCTGAGGTTCAAGTGTGTCCCAGAGGCAGCAACACGAGTCGGCGATATTTCAAAGCTCCGTGAATCACCGCGAAAGCGCGCGGCACCCTGACGGCTCGAAGAGGAGGGAACGAGGGGGAGAAGGGGGAGGAAGGCGAGGAGGGAGGGAGGGAGGGGAAGGGAAGAGAAAAAACGTGGCATCACGGCGGAGCGGGCGGCAGCTGCTCCGGCGGGCGAGAATGCGGACAACCTCACCGCCGAGCAGTGGGCTGCCACGCGGCACAGCTTGCAGGCGGCGCTGCGGCGCGACCTGTCACGGCGGGAGCCCGACAGGGTGCACTTTTCCGGGTTCGCCACAGGCTGTCGTACCGGACTCTGCCGGGTCTCCCGCGCATCCTTGCGGAGAGATTCCTGACTGCGCGGCCGCGGCTCCAGCGTTTGGTGCCGCCGCGGGTGATCGCAGCGACTTTCCGGACCGCATGGAATGGGTGGTGCACGGCAAGGCGCTTCCGACAGCGCGACCAACCGCACGACATCTGCATGCTGGGGTGCAGCCTGGCGGCGAAGGACCGTAGTCAGCACTACTGCCGTCGCAGCGTTGTTCGCCGACTTCGTGCCACGTCGCTGCGCAGGGAGTCCGAGCGGCTGCTGCCGTGGTGGCTCGGTGTTCACGTCCAGCAGGCGCGCGACGACGACAAGCTCGCTCTCGCGGCGTTGGGCGTGTACGCCGTCTACCGGGCTACGAGCGCGGCGCGGCAGGATCGGAGGGCTGTCCTCCGCAGCTGCGGAGCGCGCTCTGCAGCAGGCCCTGCGGGAGGCGGTGAGCGGGCACGCCCTGGCCGAGAGGCCGATCGGCCGCGTCTGGGCGCAGGGGGCGCGACGGGCCCTGCGCCAGTTCAGGCTTTTGTCTTTCCCCAGTCGCCCTCCTCCTCCTCCTCCTCCTCCTCCTCCTCCTCCTCCTCCTCCTTGGGTTGCGAGTGGCTTTCGCGCCCTGGCCGGGCGGAGGAGCGGCCCCGCGACACCGCGGGCGCCGCCCCGCCGCCAGACGCCTCGAGAGGGCGCTCGCTCGCCTCCCCTCCCTCTCCTCCGCCTCCTCCTCCCTCCGCCTCGTCCCCCCTCCTCCAGATCGTGGCTCCCATCTGTGGATCCGAGCCGATGGGTGTGTCGGTGGCTGTGGAGGCCCCGAGCGCTCCCTTCGAGCGTGCAGCCGCCCCCCCCCCCTCCTTCCTCGTCCTCCTCGCCCTCTCTTCCTCCTCCCTTTCTCGTCCTCCTCGTCCTCCTCGTCCTCCTCGTCCTCGTCCTCCTCGTCCTCGTCCTCCTCCTCCTCGTCCTCCTCGCCTTCTCTTCCTCCTCCCCCCCTCCTCCATTCCGGCCAGTGCTTAGGAGAATGCGCATCCGTAAAAGGGTTTCCTCCCGCGCTTGCCTCCTGGAGGCGGAGCTCCGGCGAGCCCTTCCGGGTGGGCCGGCTCTTCGCCTCCCCTGCCTATCTCCTCCTCTCTCCTCGCCTTCGCACGTCGTGGAGCGGGAATTCTGGCCAAGGGTGCCCTGTTCTTTTGCGTCCAGTGGCAGTTCCGGTGCCACCCTGTCCAAGTCGCCTGGCTGGCACAGGCTTCTTTGCGACGCTCGGCGATGGCGATCCTCCTCCTCCTCCTCCTCCTCCTCCTCCTCCTCCTCCTCCCCTCCTCCTCGTCTGCGAGTTGCATGGATGTTTCTCTGCATGTGCATGCTATGTTTTGTTTGGAGTGCAGTAGGGATCGTCCTCCCACTGCGCTGGCCCGCCCCACACGCAGGCTGGCAGCTGCAGGGTGGCGGCGCCCGCCTTCCGCCGAGCTTCGGCGTCGGAGGTCGCTGGTCGCCGGGCCCATCCTGACCCTGCAGCCGGCCCTAGGCCTGCTGGCTGTGTGCTTAGGGGTGGTGGGCATGAGCTTGCACTCGTGCTCTTCATCAGTAGCCCCTGAACAGCGCACCACTCATTTGATGTGCCATCGCCTGTTGTATTGCACGCGGGTCTCCAACGACCTTGCTTCCTCTGCTTCGGCATCGAGGCTGTCTGCAGGCCTTTTTCCTCTTCCCTTCCCTCCCTCCCTCCTCGTCCTCTTCCTCCCCCTTCAAGGAACCACAGCCAAAATTGGATCAGCGCGAACTTGGTTGGATGCGACGACGGTTATCCCATACGCGTTTGCTCAAGACGTAAAATCGTCGTTCCAGGCCCAAGAGGAAACACTTTCGTCCTGGGAATGTGTGGCAACGAAACGTGTGAGAGTATCGTCGAAATAGAAGTGGAACCGCAAGCGGGCGCTGCCATGGAGGCCTTCTGTGGAGCTCCCTATGGGAAAACACGAAACGTGTGAGGGGTGTGCCGACAAGGGGATGGAAACGCATGCGGGCGCTGCCGCCGGGGCCTTCGGTGGAGCTCCCCAAGGGGCCACGAACGTGTGAGGGATGTGCCGAAATAGTGGTGAAACCGCATGCGGGCGTTGCCACTGGGGGCCTTCGGTGGAGCTGGGGCCACGAAACGTGTGAGGAGTGCACCGACATGGGGGTGGAACCGCATGCGGTCGCTGCCACTGAGGCCCTCGATGGAGCTTCCTATGTGGCCACGACTCGTGTGATGGCTGCACCGGCATGCCGACATGGGGGTGGAACCGCATGCGGGCGCTGCCTCTGGGGCCTTCGGTGGAGCGCTACGAAACGTGTGAGGGGTACACCGACATGGGTGGAACCGCATGCTGGCGCTGCCACTGGGGCCTTCGGTGGAGCTCCCTTATGAGGCCACGAATAGTGTGAGGGGTGCACCGAGATTGGAGTGAAACTGCATGCGGGCGCTGTCAGTGGGGCCCTTGGTGGAGCTACCTAAGGGGCCCACGAAACGTGTGAGTGGTGTGCCGAAATGGGGGTGAAACTGCATGCGGGCGCTGTCAGTGGGGCCTTCGGTAGAGCACCTTATGGGGCCACGAAACGTGTGAGGCGTGCCCCGAAATGGAGGTGGAACTGCATGCGGGCGCTGCCACTGGGGCCTTCGGTGGAGCTTCCAATGAGGTCGCGAAACGCTGTGCTGGGTGCGCTTAAACGGTGGACATGCAGAGGGCAGAGGTAGGGATGGGAGAAGGGAGGAGCGGGAGGAGGAGGCGGGAGGGAGGGACGGGGGGCGCTGTCTCTTCAAAACGAGGACCCAACACCACAGGATGGTTGGGAATCATACCCTCGGATCTCTGGGTCCTCAACTCGAACCCCCGACGACGGCGCCGACGACGCGGCGCAGGGGCGCAGCTTCGTCAGCGTGGCACCCTCCAGGTCCCGCTCGGGCAGGCCCGCGGCGGCGCACTCCTCGCCGCAACCGCGGGGGGAGGACCGCCTCCCCCAAGGACCCGCGGTGGGGGGGGGACCGGCTCAGGGCAGTATTGGCAGATCCTCCTCCTCCTCCTCCTGATCCTCCTCCTCCTCCTCCTCCTCCTCCTCCCTCTTCCTCCCCCCCCTCCTCCTGCTCCTCCTTCTCCTCCTCCTCCTCCTTCTCCTCCTCCTCCTCCTCCTTCTCCTCCTCTTGCTCATCCTCCCTTCCTCCCCCTCCTCCTTCTCCTCCTCCTGCTCCTGCTCCTCTCCTCCTCCTCCTCCTCCTCATCACCACCACCACCACCACCACCACCACCACCACCATCATCATCATCATCATCATCATCATCATCATCATCATCATCATCATCATCATCATCATCACATCACTCACCATACATCACCATCACCATCACCATCCCCATCACCATCACCATCACCATCACCATCACCATCAACCATCACCATCACATCATCATCATCATCATCATCATCATCATCATCACCATCATCATCATCACCATCACCATCATCATCATCATCATCATCATCATCATCATCATCATCATCATCATCATCAACATCATCACCATCATCACCATCATCATCATCCCCCTCCTCCTCTTCCCCCTCCTCCTCTTCCCTCTCCTCCGCCTCCTCCTCCTCCTCCTCCTCCTCCTCCTTGTTCCGCCCCTCCACATCATCCTCCTCCTGGCGTTGCAAAAAGAGTGGGCCTGGAGAATGGAAATTGAGAAGGGGAGGAGCAGGACCTCGGCGCGATCGGTTTGTCCCTCCTGAGTGTCCTTGGAAGCCTGTCGCCACGGCTGAGCTCGCTTCGCAGCGCTGAGGGGCAACGTTAGGGCCGTTAGGGGGGGCCGGCTCAGGAGGGGGAAGCAGCGAACTGGAATCGGCGCTGCTTCGCCAATAAATCGGCGATAAGCTCGCGATACAGAATCCGCCCGTTCCTGGGCGGGGTGGGCCCTCAGGCCCCTATCGGCGATGAGTCGGCGAACGGGGGTCGATGCAGCACCCCTGAGCAAGTCGCCCCCCTGCCCCTGAACTGCCCCGCGAGCGGTCTTTCATCGCATCGCACCGCTGGCGGCAAGAGAGCTGTCTGAAGTACCACGGGGCGCCATCACGCCCTGTGGCAAGTATCTGGACGCCTGCTGCGGGAAGCTGAGGTCGAAAACCGTTGGTGCCATCATGGTTACAATCATCTTCCTGCCATAAGGAACGCTGAATGAGGAGCGAGGGGGCTATTCTGGCCACGCGGGTTTAGGCCACGAACAGCCCGCCCCCCAGAGGACCCCTGGGGAAGGAGGCGGGAAGGGGGAGGAGCGGCAGGAGGGAGGGAGGGAGGGAGGGAGGAGGGGGACGAGGAAAAGCAGGAGGGGAGAACAGGTAGAAGGGGGAGAAGCAGGAGCAGCAGGAGGAGCAAGAGGGTCATGGAGGAGGAGGAAGAGGAGGAGGAGAAGCAGCAGGCGGACCGCTCGACCGAGGAGGAAAAGAGGAGGAGGATGAGAAGGAGGAGGAGGAGGACGAGGAGGAGGATGAGGAGGACGAGGAGGAGGACGAGGGGGACGACGAGGAGGAGGAAGAGGAGGAGGATGAGGAGGACGAGGAGGAGGATGAGGCGGAGGAGGAGGAGGCGGAGGAGGAGGAGGAGGAGAGGATTCAAGCTTCTACTCGTCCTGGGGGCCGGGCGAGCGATCGTGGCCGCTCCTCGAGGGCCTTTCGCAGCACCTCCAGGTCCTGCAGCTGCGCGGCCACCCCGAGCTGCGCCAGCATCCGCTCGATCCTCTGGGTGGCACCGACGTCGTCGTCGCCGTCGCCGCTGTCTGCGCCTCGGTGCCGCCGCAGGCTCCCGTCGACGACGCCGACGTCGTCGCCAACCTCGTCGCCAACCTCCTCGCCGATGCCGCCGTCGCCGCCGCCGCCGCCGGCTCCCGTCGTCGTCCCCGTCGTCGTCGTCGTCGTCGTCGTCGTCGTCGTCGTCGTCGTCGTCGTCGTCGTCGAGGTCGAGGTCGTAGTCGTCGTCGAGGTCGAGGTCGAGGTCGAAGTCGAGGTCGAAGTCGAGGTCGAGGTCGTAGTCGTCGTCGCCGCCGCCGCGGCCATCTTCGCCTCCGGTCGATCGCGCATCGGTCGAAGGATCGGTCGAAGGATCGGTCGATCGAGGTCTCTCCAAGATTGCGGTCTCCAGAAGGGGCCGCTTCCCGGCCAGCCCTCAGGGGGCCGTCAAGCATGGATCCGGGCAGCACAGCTGCCCCCGCGGGGAAGCGGTCGACGCCGACGCCGACGCCGACGCCGACGACGACGCCGACGCCGACGCCGACGCCGACGACGACAACGACGACGACGACGACGACGACGACGACGACGACGACGACGACGACGACGTCGAGGCCCTGGAGCCCACCGCCGCCGTCGCAACCGCCGCCGTCGTCGCCGTCGGCTCGGATGCCCGGGGCGCTCCGGGGTGCCCTCGCCGCCACGGCGGGGCGCGGCTCGACGGAAGAATCGGCCAGGACTGAGGAGGAGGAGGAGGAGGAGGAGGAGGAGGAGGAGGAGGGGGAGGGGGAGGGGGAGGGGGAGGAGGAGGAGGGAGGAGGAGGAGGAGGAGGGAGGAGGAGGAGGAGGAGGAGGAGGGAGGAGGAGGAGGAGGAGGAGGAGGAGGAGGAGGAGGAGGAGGAGGAGGACCCCAGCAGGAGCGCGGCCCCGGGGCCGACCTTGGAGCGGACTTTTGGGCCCGCCGACGGCGCCGCCGCCGCCGTTGCCTCGGTCTTCGTCGCCGGCCTTCGCCGCCGCCGCTGCCGCCTCTGCCGCTGCCGTCGTCGCTGTCGTCGTCGTCGTCGTCGTCGTCGTCGTCGTCGTCGTCGTCGTCGTCGTCGTCGTTAAAGTTTGGATGATTAAAGCCGCTTTGAAATCTCCAGAGGCCTCTTGGGACATCCTCCCTCTTCTGGTCCTCCTCCATCTCGAATGGTCGCCCCCTCCTCCTCGTTCTCGTCCTTCTCCTCATGCTCCTCCTGCTCCTCCTCGAGCGGTCCTCCTCCTTCTCCCCGAACGGTCCTCCACCTCCTCCTCCTCCTCCTCGCACTCCTGTTCATCCCGTTGCCGTTCCTATCAATTTCCATGAGAGGTGGTGCTCCCCTCCTCTTCCTCCTCTTCGTCGTCGTCGTAGTCCTCCTCCTCCTCCTCTGGTAGGGGACTCGTCATCCTCCTCGTCCTCCTCCTCCTCCTCCTCCTCCTCCTCCTCCTCCTCCTCCTCCTTCAACACCTCCTCCTTTCCCTCCTTGCCCCTGTCATTGCCCTCCTTCACCTCCACCTCCTCCTCGCCCTTCTGGAACCTCTTGGGCTACGGGTCTCTCCGCCCACGTGCCCGCAGAAGACGTCCAGAGGTCTCCTGAGACCCCCACGGGCTCCCAGAGTACGACGAAGCCAGGACGAGGATAACAACGGGCGAGGATCAATCGAGGATCTCTGAGATCCGACGGTTCTCGAGAATGAATCGGGCGCCGCGGCCCTCTCGGAGCGTTCCGGAGTGCTCTGAGAGCGTTCTGGAACGCTCTGGAACAGATATATCCTCGTCTTGGCCCCGTCCGACAGAGCCCCCCGCGAGCTCCAAGGCAGATCCAGAAGGCGTCCTGGCTCTCAGCGCGCAGGCTGTTGCTCGGCGGGCTCGCACGCGGGAGCCACGGGGACGCGGGGGCGCGGGACAGGCGGCGAGAGAAGAGGCGCGACCGTCGCCCCGCGCGCCAGGGCGGCGGCCCACGTCCAGGAGGGGGCTCGGGGGCCTCTTGGGGGCCTCCTCCTCCTCCTCCTCTTTATCCTCCTCCTCCTCCTCCTCCTCCTCCTCCTCTCCTCCTCCTCCCTCCCTCCTCCTCCTCCTCCTCCTCCTCCTCCTCCTCCTCCTCTCGCTCCTCCTCCTCCTCGGGGCACGGCCTCGAGGCGACAGGCACGAGGGGAAGCCTGCGCAGGGGGGGGGGGGGGGGGGCCCACGCCGCTCCTCGTGGGGGCACCCCGGCGGGCGGGGGGGGGGGCCAGGAGGGCCCGCTGCCCCGATACTCGGGGGGGAACGAAAGTAGGGCGACGAAATCTATACATATCCACTGCTCCCTGGCCAGGCCCATCCTCAACCCCGCAGCGGTGTATACGCCACGCCCTCCTGGCTTGGCCAGGAGGGCGCATACACAGCTCCTGGGTTCAAGATGGGCATGGTCAGGGAGCAGTGGATATGTATAGATTTCGTCGCCCGAGAAACCTCGAAGACCCGAATTTCGGGTTGGGGGGGGTAGGGGGTCCACAGGTGTTTTTTCAATGTTTCCCGGCCCCCCCCCCCCACTGGAAATCGAGGGTAAATCTGAGCCTTCGGGTTGGGTTGGGGTGGTTTGGTGGGTGGTGAAATACTCGGGGGGGGGACGAAAGTTGGGGATAGCAACCGGTAGGGTAGAGAATCAGCTCACGTGACTGCTTTTCCCAGCGCCTCCCAGCGCCGGGGGGCGCCCATGTATCGAGGCATGGGCCCGGCGGCGGGGCCGAAACCAGCCGCAGGCAGCAGAGTTCGTACCCCTCCCCTTCCCTATCCCCCCTTTCGTCCGGCCCGAGATGCGCAACACGCGACCCGTCGCTTCTTGACACGGAGCTCAACGCGTAGCCAGACCGAAAATGGCGGTTTGGCGCGATGCGCTCGCCAAAACGTGGGCAAGCACGTGCCGAGCCAACACGCAGCGTGTTAACACGTACGCTTTGGACACGGCACGTGTGGCGTTCCAACACGAGCGCATCAGGGCAACTGGGCTCACCACGTGTTTTGCGCGCCCGCAGCGATGTGGACCACGGTCGCGTCTGAAACAGGCGGGGGTCGCAAGCGAAATTGCAGCCCGACGCGTGCCGAACGTGCTCGAGCCCGAGCCGTGGGGTCCCTGGGAGGGGGCAGGCTGAGCAGGCAGCTCGAACAGAGGGGCGGCGACATGCCAGGGCATAGGGAAACCAACAATGACATAAACATACAACTCGGAGGTCCGCGCGGACTTCTCGGATCGGCGTTGGACCCCCTCCTTGGCGCGCGGAGCGCGCCAGGGGCGGCGCCAGAGGCGCCGCCAGGGGGCTCCAGCGCCGATCTAAAAAATTCGCGCGGACCTCCGAGTTGTTATGTTTGTGCCATTGTTCGTTCCCTTAGGGCCCTAGGGCACCTGCAGGTGGCGGAACCGCGCGATGGGGCGCGAGCAAGCAGAGCGCTGGGTGGACCCTGAAATCCTGGCGTCTCAATTTCTTCGAGCCGGGCGTTTTAGCTCGGCTTCGGGCCCCACGACCTTCGCAATTCGATCCAGGTCGGAAATTGGCGCAGCAAGGTGGGGCTCCAGCTCCGGTCGTGATTTCTCACGAAAAACAGCAAGGACGCTTGAACGAATTATTTTCAACGATGTAAATGATGTTTTAACGATTTTCTGGTCGTGGTTTTGAGCGGAAGGCGATATTTAACGATTGTTCAAATCGGCAGCGCCGGCGATCGCAGGCGCGGGAGGCGGCACGGGCGGGGCGCGACGGGCGCGGGACGCGAAGACGAGTGGAGCAGGGGAGGGCGGCCGCCGAGGAGGGAGGAGGGAGGAGGCCCGCCTGCCGACAAAGACGTGCAGCTGCGAAGCAAACACCATCCTGGTGGAGGACCCAACCATGCCGCAGTGGTACGTATCGTGTTCGGTGGAGCTCCCGGTGGGGCCACGGAGCGCGTGAGGCGTGCGCCGCAACGGGTGTGAGGCCTTCACGTGAACGGCGCCTCTGGGCTTCGGTGGACCTCATTATGGGGCCTCGAGGCGTGCGGTGACGCCCACAGGTGGACGGTGCCACTGGGGCCTTAGGTGAAGATCCCTATGGGGGCCACGAAGCGTGAGAGGGGTGTACCGACATGGGCATGCGGAAGGCAGACGCAGAGATGGAAGGGAGGAGGGGAGGAGGGAGAGGAGGATGAGGTGTGGACGAGGGGCGCTGTCGCTAGCCAGCGAGCACCCAGCACCATAGGTTGGGGAAAACGACTGGCGTTCCAACACTGGGCCTGCACGCTCTGTCTCTCGGCGGCGCGCCCCTGGTGGGAAGGCAGAGGGAGCGGGCCTGCTCGCACGGCTCAGAACGCCTCCCCTGGCCCTCGGAGAAGCCTCCCGCGCCTTCTCCGAAGCCACCCCACGACGGGCCCTCGCGGCAGGCCCCGGGGGCACCTGTGAAACCCCGCTGCCTGCTGAGCAGGCCTGCCCCCCCACCCTTAACCCCTCGGCGCGCGGCGGTGCAAGCAGGCCCGACCCCCTCCCTTCCCCCCCCTCGGCACGCGGCGATGCGCGAAGGCATCTTCCCCGCTCGGCGCGCGAGGCCGCCTCGCCCCTCTGGCTCCTCCCCTCCCTCGGCGCGCCGCTCCTCCTCCTCCTCCTCCTCCTCCTCCTCCTCCTCCTCCTCCTCCTCCTCCTCCTCCTCCTCCTCCTCCTCCTCCTCCCTAAAGCAACTTCGGCCCAGGCTTCTCAGCTTCCTCCCCCGCAGCGCCAGGGTGCAGGCGGAGCGCGCGCCGGCGCACACTGCAGGCGCACGCCTGGCGAGGGCGCTCGAGCGGCGGCCGTGCCGTCCTGGGCGAGGGGCGGGCAGGGGCGAGCAGAGGGAGGAGCGCTGGACGAGTGGCGCGCGTTTGGCCAGGCGCCGCGAGCAACTGCAACAAACCACGCTCACGCACACACTGCTTCCTCCAGCGGCCGAGTGGCGTCACTGCTGCGAGCGGCTGAGGCGGGCCACGCTGGGCGTGAGTTCCATCAGACGCAGGGCGAGTTGCGTGAAGAAACAAAAAGGAACTGCGCGCGCGCACACAATGAACTTCCACACTGAGGGGCAAGGGGGGGGACTGGTCATTGGGCCCCTGTCGGCGATGAGTGAGCGATTGGGGGTCGATACACCCCCCCAGGGGCAAATCCCCCCAGTGATCCTCGTCGTCTAGCTTTTGGGTCGTTGCCGGGGTCTCCGGCGGCCATTCGGGGCGATGCGGGCACCCTCGGAACGCCCTCGGCTAGGCGCAGCTGCTGGAAGGCACCTCGAGGCTGGAAGACCGCCGAGAACCGACGAAAACTTCCGAAAACCTCTGCAGCCGAACATATGATCAAGAAATCAATCGGTTCAGAAATCTAGGCCAAATTCCCGGAGGTCTCTTAAGACAAACATTGTGCAGCTTCTGCCGTCCACGCGGAAGGGGCGACCGTGCTCGAGAAACTGGGCCAGCTTTCTGGCAAGTCGGTTCGGAAGCGCTGGCCCAGCTTGTCGGGAGGAGGTTTCTTATTCATATGCTCGACTGCATCCTCCCCCGCCTCCGGGCCTATCCATGACGTTGCCCCTGCCTGACACGCTTATGCTGTATGGCGCGGTCCGCGGCGCAGGCGAGCGCGGCCTCGCTTCCTCGGAGGGGGGGAGTAGGCGGAGGAGGAGGAGGAGGAGGAGGAGGAGGAGGAGGAGGAGGAGGAGGAGAACGAGTGGGAGAAGGAGGAGGGAGGATGGAGAAGGAGGATGCAGGATGGAGGATGGAGGAAGGAGAATGGAGGATGGAGGATGGAGGAGAATGAGGAGGAGGACGAGGAGGAGGAGAACGAGGAGGAGGAGGAAAGCAGGAGGAGGAGGAGGAGGAGGGAGGAGGAGGGGAGCGGAGGAGGATGGAGGAGGAGCATGGAGAAAGAGGCGGAGGAGGGAGGAGGATGAGGAGGAGGAGGCGGAAGAGGAGGAGGCGGAGGAGTCGGAGGAGGAGGAGGAGGGCGGAGGAGGAGGCGGAGGAGGAGGAGGAGGAAGGAGTCGGAGGAGCGGGAGGAGGCGAGAGGAGGCGGAGGAGTCGGAGGAGCAGAGGAGGAGGAGCGAGGAGGAGGAGAGGAGGAGGAGGAGGAGGAGGCGGAGGAGGCGGAGGAGGAGGAGGAGGACGAGGAGGAGAAGGACACACCACGCGCACACGCACACCGGCACATCTCCTGCATCCCGGAGGGCCAGCCGGGGCGCGGCCCGCGGCGGGGGGCGCGCGGCCTCGCTTTCTCGGCGACCGCGCCCTCCAGGCAGCGCTCTGGCATGCCGGCGGCCTCGTGGGGCGCCGCGCGTGGCCTCCCTTCCTCCTCCGCCTCCTCTTCGTCGTCGTCGTCGTCGTCCTCCTCCTCCTCCTCCTCCTCCTCCTCCTGCTCCTCCTCCTCCTCTGGTTGGGGACTCGTCCTCCTCCTCTTCCTCCTCCTCCCCTTCTTCCTCCTCCTTCAACACCTCCTCCCTTTCCCTCCTTGCCCCTGTCCTTGCCCTCCTTCACCTCCACCTCCTCCTCTCCCTTCGGGAACCCCCTGGGCCACGGGTCTCCCCGAGCCCGTGCCCGCAGAAGACGTCCAGAGGTCTCCTCAGACCCCCACGGGCTCCCAGAATACGACGAAACCAGGACGAGGATAACACTGGGCGAGGATCAATCGAGGATCTCTGAGATCCGACGCCTCTGGAGGATGTATCGGGCGCCGCGGCTTTCTCAGAGCGTGCCCGAGCGCTCTGAGAGCGTTCTGGAGCGCCCCTGAAATCGATTTATCCTCGCTATAACCCAGACGAGAATCGGCGTGGCGCCTGGAGGGGGAGGGGGGGGGGGCGGGGGCGGCGTTCGACGTTCGCAGGCACCTCCGAGGGCGCTCCCGGGAATACGCTCCAGGGGGCTAGTTTCGGAGGGGGGGTAAGCTCAGCGGGGGTAGGTTCGAGGTGCAGGGGAGAATAGGGTGGGCCAGGGGCGGGGCTGGGTTAGGCTCAAGGGGGGGAGGGGGGGATGGGCTCAGGGAGCCGGAAGCCAGACTCGACGGCGCGCCCAGGGGCAAGGCAAAGCGGGCGGGCCGCTTCAGAGGCTCAGAAGGCCTGCGGCCTTCTGAGAAGCTCTCTGAACCTAAACGTTGGTTTTCGTTTTGTTTTCGTTTTGCCCTACCTGTTTTCTGGTACCTCCCTCCCAAGGCGGAAAGCAAAACACAGCCGAAGTCCAGCAAAACAGCGTTTAGCTCCAGCACTGGGCTGGAGGGTCTTTGAAAAGGCGTGCCCCCTCTCACTTCCCCCCCTCGGCGCGCGACGGTGCGGGCAAGATTTGGTGTACATCCACATCCACGGCGTCTTGGATGTTGGGGGAGTGGGTGCCAGAAAACCCGAGGCTCGGTGGATATGGATAGAACTCTAACCCATTAACAAGGCCTGGTTCTATCGAGCCCTTAAGCCCCCCCCCCCCTCAGAATCTTGCCCGCAGATGAGAGGAGGGGATATCAGAGGCTGGAGGGTTGGCAACTCGGCTGCGCGTGGCTGGCTCTCCCGGCGCCTTCCGTCGCTGGTCGACGGGGCCGAAGCCGGCTGCATGCGACAAGCTTCGCATCCTGCTTTCCACGTCCCCCTTTTCTTACAAGCCTCGAACGCATCCCTAGGTATCCCTAAGATTGACACGCCAAAAGGCGATGACAATCTTAGGGATCCGCCCTCAAAAACGAAGGGAATCCCTAAGATTGGCATCGTGATGAGGAGGTGCCCAGCATAGGGATAGGGATATGTTCCAGGCTGGTAATTTTCGTCTGCCCCCAGGGAGGAGAGATCGGTGGTCCTGGGCGGGAACCGGTATCCGAAGCATCGCGGTCCGGATTCCTCGGCCGCGACCCCACGGTCACAGGCCGGCTCTGTGCGGACGCCCCGCGCGGAACGCATCCGTGGGATTGCGTGTCGATGGGATGGTGCCTCGGCATCCGTGACTGCGAGGGCATGGATGTGGGCATCGTTGTCGGCCGTGAGACGGAGGACGAGCACGCGGACTTTTTGGCGACTCGTTCTCTTGTCGTTCTCGCTTCTCGCTCTTTGGCCTTCCGGGGCCCTTCTCGTCGCTAAGACTGGGCGCAGCGCAGCTCGGTACTCTCGCCAGGATCAGGCCTGGCGATTGACTGGATTCTGCTCAGATCCGGGCATCGCAGAAAACCGTGCGCCCAGAAGAGGGAAGGGAGGGGGGGATGAGCAGGATTCCGACGTGACTTGTTTGCCCGTTCTGCCACCGCTGGACTCGCTTCGAGGTTCTGCTGGAAATGAGGTCTGGGAGCCGGCTACTAAGGGAGGTCTCTGGAGGTCTTCGCGGAGACCTCCCGAAGCCCTCGCTAGTCGTTCCCAGACCTCCGATGTCGCGATCTTGTTGTTAATGCGTGGCTCGCGGGCACCTCGACCACTGATGCAAGTAATGTGTTGTATCCACGAATGTTTTGTTGACGGTCCTGGAACCCACATGCGGCTCCCGGACTCCGAGCATGTGGAAACAAACATGCGTCTTGAGTCTTTCGAGACGTCGGAGGTCTGGGTCCTTGTCGCCGTCGTTTTCCTTTTCCTCCTCCTTCTCCTCCTCCTTCTCAATCAATCAGTGCGCAATGCTTCGGGCTGCTACAACCGAATTAAGTCTGAGGTACCCCCCGCACTAGTCGACGCCAGGTGGAGGGCTGAGTCATGTAAACGGGCCGCGCGACATCGAACGTCGAGAAAGCATAGAGGGGGAGTGGCGGGTCCCCAAGGGGAAGCCGAGGTCACTCGAGGGGGGGAGTCCCTGGATTTGGACGCCCGGGATGGGTACGGAAAAGATGGGCACGATGCCCACCAACAAGTAAGTGTTGTCCAGAAACCGACAGCGGCCGCTGTTGGCAAATGGGCAAGGGCCGCGGCGACGCCGACAACAAACCCTCTTCGCAGTGAGCAAGAACTGCTGCTGGACTCTGTGTCCGTTCTTTCCGTACCCATTTCGACCGTCCCGACCAGAGCCTTGAGAAGGTCAGTACCCTCGCCCGCCCTGTGTCCCCCCGAGGTCGGAGGAGCACGCGCAGCTCAGAGAACGCGAGTGTGCGTGCCAACTGTTTCGGGACATGCCACGTAATTGCTCATTGATGGTGAGAAAGCCTTGATCTGCCGAAAACCTCGGTCATTGGCCCGCCCTCTGGTTCCCCATTCGTTGACAACCTCATCAGAATAGCAAGACGGAGCAGATTCGTTCGAGACGGCCCTATCAGCAAAACCATTGTCTGAAGCTCCCAAATGCCTCTCAGTTCCGAAATTTCTGGCTCGCACGGAATCGCTAACCATGGCGTAATTAGCATGTCACTTGAGCCGCACACTGTAGCAACCTTGCTTCCAGAGCTCGCTCGTTGATTGCGGGGGGGGATGGGGGCGAGGGGGGGATTGGGGAAACCGAGAGATACCGACACCGCTACTCCCCGGACCCCTCCCAGTGATCGTTCTGACGAACACTTCCATGCAACATTGGCCGCGGCGGCAGGGGCCTCCCAGGAGACCCAGAAAGGCGGAAACGAGGCAAGGGCAGCGGCAGCGGAATCTTCTCCTTACCGCAGGGACGGGAGCAAAAGGAAGGGAAGAGGGGAAGGGTCGAGGGGCCTGCGCCTCCTCGATGGCCGGTGTGAGCAGCTGGACCCTCTGGCCCCCTCGTCGCGCGAGGGGGCCTGTTCCCGGCTTGCGGCGAGGCGAGTCGGGTGCGGTCGCCGTCGTCATCTTCGTCGTCGTCGCTGTCGTCGCGGTCGTTGCGTTCGTTGCGGTCGTCGTCCTCCTTCTCCTCCAGAGACTTTGAGGCCCTGGTGGCAGGGAAGTCATCCGACGTTGCTATCCTCCTCCTCCTCCGCCTCCTCCTCCTGCTCCTGCTCCTGCTCATGCTCCTACTCCTGCTTCTGCTCCTGCTCCTACTCGTGCTCCTCTTCCTCCTCCTCCTCCTCCTCCTCCTCCTCCATTCCTTCTCCTTGAAAATCACTTCCTCTCTGTCGCACCCCGAAGCCAATTTTTAGGGTGGGCCGGACATTTCGCCTGAGACTTCCTGACAATTTATGACTCTGAAGATTAAAAAAAAAGGCACAACAGCTTCACATATTGAGGGCGGGTGGTTTTCAAAATGTGGCTCTCGCCTTAGCACCGCGCACATTCGTTTTACAACAAATGCAAGAATTCTACAGACTGAGGGCGGGTCGTTTTCAAAATGTGGCTCTCGCCCTAGCACCGCGCACATTGGTTTTAAACATTTGCAAGAGTTTCACGGGTTGAGGCCGGGTGGTTTTCAAAATGTGGCTCTCGCTTTTGCGACGCGCACATTCGTTCGTAACATTTGCAAGAATTTCACGGATTGAAGACGGGCCGTTTTCAAAATGTGGCTCTCGACATGGCGCCGCGCACATTCGTTTTATGCAAGAGTTTCACGGATTGAAGGCGGGTCGTTTTTTAAATGTGGCTCTCGCCTGGCGCCGCGCACATTCTTTTGAAAACATTGCAAGAACTTCATGGATTGAGGGCGGTTCCTTTCCAACATGTGGCTCTCGCCTTAGCGCCGCGCACATTCGTTTTCAAAATGTTCAAAAGTTTCACGGATTGAGGGCGGTTCCTTTCCAACATGTGGATCTCGCCTCAGCGCCGCGTACATTCGTTTCCAAACTTTGCAAAGAGTTGCACGGATTTCCATGATCAGCGTACCAGAAATGGGTTTTGGAAGGATTCAGGATGATGCGTGTGCAAGACGTGGCGTTCTGGCGCGATTCCGGATCGTCAAAGCGCAGCAGTCAGGTCGATACGTGGCGTTGAAGTCCCGAGAGCCATGTTTTGGCATGCTTCAGGATCTTCAAACAGTTGTCTTCCAAGGGGGCAGTTCCCTCAATGGAAAGGAACTGTGAAAGGGGCCTATGAAGAGGGAGCTTGGAGGGAGGGTTAATTCCAACATCGTTGATGACTCTTGGGTTTACACTGGTCCTCCTCCCCCCCTCCTCCTCCTGCTCCTCCTCGCCGTTTCGGCTGGGGCTCTAGCGAGCGGGCGCGCGCGCGGCGAGGCCGACTCCCCCAGACACCGTCCCAGGTCGTGCAAGCGTGCATCCGGAGCGGCTCACCTGCACAGGCCGTCGATGGCATGCCGCGGTCGCGGAGACGAGCCTCGCCCCCATGGGCCGCCGAGGGCCCCGCCTCCGAGAGGCAGAGGGCCGAGGCAGGCCGCGGCGTCAGAGAGGACCAGCGCATTCTGCAGGCGGCCATGGCGGCCGCCCAGGAAGGGATGCGCGCGGGCACGAAGGAGCTCCTGGGCGACGTGATGTCCGCGGCGCGGGAGGAGCTCCGTGCCCAGCAGGCGCGATGGCTAGCCGATCCCACTCTCCGCGAGCGGCGCCGGCGCCAGCTCTTGCCGCCGGAAGGGCGCTCCGAGGAGGAGGTTGCGCCGCCGCCGCGGAGGCCCCGAGATGGGGTGGAGCCGGAGGAGCACCAGCCGGAGGAGTCGCGGCATCGAAGCCCGACCCTTCCCAACTGGTCCTGGACAACCTCGGAGCACTCGCACGCGGAGAGCAGCGATGAGGACGAGGCGAGCATGGCTCGGGCGTTGGCAGAACTGGGTTTAGCGTAACCTGGTTTAGTGATGTGTACCGGGGGGCGCCCCCCCCGCCCCATTCCGCTAACCGGAACTGCCTTCACCCGAAAAACACCAGCAGACCTGGTTTAGTGAATCTGTGGCCAATTGAGGGGCCCCAGGGCCCTACCACTAGCCGGGTCCCCCTACCCAGGGTCCTGGCTATACCCGAATGGCGGACGAGAGGATTGCGCCTGCGGGGCCGCCCCGGCGGATGGTGGAGCCAAGGGAAGCTCCGGAGGCCGGGCGGGACGGTGCGAAGCGGTGGTCTTCTGGCGGGGCAGGGTCGAGCACCTCGTCAGCGAGGCCGCCGCAAAAGGCCGTCCCTCAGTGGAGGCACCGGCGAGGCACCGGCACACCCAGAAGCCCAGCAAGAAGGAGGGGGCGCCGTGCAGGCGTGGGCGAAGTGGGGCGGCGGCTCGCGAAGGGAGGAGAAGGGCAACGGGGACCACAAAAGGAAGCAATGACACGAGTGGGGCGACTCCAAGAAGAAGGGCGTGTGCCGCGAGGAGCGGGGCCAGCCGAGGAGTGGGGCGGATCCGCCGTGGCAAGATGCGCCCTGGAGGAATCAGAAGCAGGCGCGAGGCCGCCTTTGACTTCGAGCATGCTTTCGGTGAGTTACGCCCTCAAGGAGTGCGCCATTCAGGGTTGCGACCACGACCTTTTTGGTCACGCGGAGGTCTTCAACCTCCAGGCCTGCGAGTTCGAGGAGATGGAGGAGCACCGCCCAGTCAGCGAGGAGATGCGCAAGGACTCCAGCAGCATGGATGAGTGTGAGGAGCAGCATGTGATCAATCCTGCCCTGTAAGCTGTGCGGCGGTGGCTGGGTCTTCAGGCAGGAAGCGCACCGAGATGAACGGAGTGAGCCACGAGATGAGGCACCAGACTCTAGGGACGAAGGAGGCCCAGCACGGAGCGCTCGCGGACTCGGAGGAAACGAACCCCCTCGTGACGCACCCCGGAAGGAACCCGCACCACGGGCTCACGAGCATGGAGGCGAGGAAACCAGCAGGGGCCCAGATGCGGGACCTGAGGAGCGACCTCGAGGACGGAGGCGAGGGAGCAAGCCGGGGCCCCGAGGAGGACCTCAGGAGCGGCCTCGAAGCGCAACCTCCCCCCAGCGAGGGGGCGGGGAAGACGCTCCCGAAAGAGAAGCAGAGGAGGCGGCAATAGAAGCCTTTCGCGCCCCAGGAGGGCCCACCCGACGGGGCCTCGAGAACCACTGGCGCCGCTGCGCTGTGCGCGGCGGGAGTCGAGCCCGAGGCCGAGGCATGCCCGGGTGCGCTGAAGAACCGGTGTCTCCAGATCATGGGCAACGCGATGGACTAGCGCAGAAAGGAGGTCGAGAGGGCCTTGAACGAGATGCAGCGCCTCACCTGCCAGCGAGACCCCCAGGCTAGGGAGACCATCGGGGCGGGCGTGTTCCAGGGCGCCCACCATGCAACTGATCTGAGAGAGTGGAGTGGCCGGTCGATTCGGCCGCGGGTCGCAGCGTCACCACGGTTGGGCTCGGTTCGGTGTCGCTGGCTCTACCCCGAAGCCTGGATTGGCTGAGAGGTAGGGCCGGTAGGGCCGTGGTGCCCGTCCGTTGGTTCTGGCCTGGCCCAACGGGCCTGGTCTGTCAAAGCGGGCGTCTTCAGGCGCGCCGGCCCACGCGCAGCAAACACTGGGCGCTCCACCCGACCCCGACCCCGATCTTGACCTCCTCCTCCTCCTTCTCCTCCTCCTCCTCCCTCTCCTCCTCGTCCTCCTCCTCCTCTTTTTCTTCCTCCTCCTCCTCCTCGGTCGGTCAGTCTGTCGGCGGATGAGGGCATAATCACATGTCACCCATGCAACTTAAAAAGGCGAGGTAAAGGTGTGGGAGGCTGGGAGGCAATACAGGGTGGAGGCGCACAGGACCTGAGACTATACAGTCAGCTCGTTCGGGTCTCCACCTGCCCTGGCGGGCTGAACAGCGCGTGAGTCACGCGCACCACAAGGCGAGCCAAGCTGTCATCCATCGGCGGTCGCGTGGGAGCCTGGAAAACAATGGCCCCGACAACAGAAACAATGGAAACGCCGGCAGCAATGGCCAGCGAGGGTGGGACAAGCACACGGTCGTTACCATGCAGCGTTTCCCCGCCCCTCTCCATGCGTGGATGGGCTCCCCGACCAACGCGGACAACCAATCGGGGCACACGAACGCACAGGAGTCGCACGTTCCAGCCAGCATCGCGTGTCCAAGCCTGGGGGGCCCGGCATGTGTCCACTCCCGTCCGCCCACAAGGTTGAGAAACCCAGGGGAGGCCCCATCCTGAGACATGTCCAGCAAGGGGGGGGGGGCACCAAAGGCAAAGGATGCCCAGCTTCCACCCCCAATCAAGCACGGCCGCCACCGACATGATGGTGACGCTATCCCCCAACACTTCGTTGTGCGCCTTCTCCCCCAAGGGTGGGGGGACCAAAAAGGACATCTGAAACCTTCCGCGAAACACGGCTTCCCGCAACGTGGTGCGGCCCAAAGGAGCGGAGGGTCGGGAGGCAAATTGTTGCGGCCACCATGCCCTGTCTGCAAGCAGGGGTCCACATGGCCAGCTGCTCCCCCCCTTGGTGGGGGTCAATCACCAATCGACGGATTATGCCTTCAAGGGGGACGTAGCACGAATCGCACGTCTCCACGCCTGAACAAGCTGACAGCAACACTTGCTAAGCCTAACCAGGAGGAGCAAGTGCCTGCTGCGTACTTCGGGAAGCCGAGGCATCACGAGATGGGGGGGGCAAAGAGGGCCAGGGGCAGGGGCCAGGGGCGCGAGCGCCACTGGGGGGGGGGGGGCGGGTGTCCTGATTGCGGGGGGCAAACGGGAGACCCGATCACGCGGCAACCTCTTGGCACGGTTGTCGCCCTGTCTGGCCTGTAACTCCTGGCGCGCGGTCCCCCGTTCCTCCTGGGGCGGGGGGGCGGTCGCGGTGGCGCAGAGCTAAGAAACACCGCGTGGCAGCGCGCAAATGCTTGGCCAAACGAGCGGGGTTATCAAAAATGCGGCAGCGAGCCCGACCCCCCCCCACCACA